AATAGAAACTGCCTTTGCAGGGACGACAAGGTTGGTCTTAGCAGAAAAAGCCTTCAGTGTAGCTAGTATATATATGTTCAAAGATCTAAAGGAAACCATATTTAAGAATTAGTCAGTTAGAAGGTAGATCAATAAAAATTAATCAAGTGAAGAAAAAAGACACAAGAATCTTTTTTTTAAAAAAGAAGTGTTAGAGAAAAAAAGGGGACATTTTGAATCACCCTGCACATGTCAACAAATCAAGAAGATAAAACAAGTATTAATCTATCACATCTAACAACAGATCCACAAAATAAATGAAGCAAAAACAAAATTTAAGCAAGAAACAGACAACTCAACATTCCTAGTTGGAGATCTGAATACATCTTACTCAGTTTATACAACTGAAAAGATAATTAGTTAGCAAGAATATGGTAGACTCAAACTCCACCACTCTGACCTAAATGAAGTGACAGCAACCTTCTACCCAAGAATAACACAATACATAGGATTTTCAACAGTGCATCTACATTCTCCAAGACAGACCATGTATTCAAACACTCTATAATATGTTTAAAAGAACTGAGATCATTTAAAATGTTTTAAAAATTAAGGAATTTAGAAATTAAGAGCACATAAACATGAGAAATCCATTAATGTGGGGAATAAACACACAAGTTGACCAAATAAGAAATCACAAGAGAAATCAGAAAATATTTTGAGCTAATAAATAAAAGAAAAACAGACATATCCAAATTTATGGAATGTAGTTAAAGAAGCGCTTCCTGAAATTTTTATCTTCAAACATACACATATACACACACTTATTAAATAGAAAGAATGGTCTGAAATTAATTACATAAGTCCCCAGCTTAATAAACCAGAAAAAAAAGGGGAATCCAAACCCAAATTAAGCAGAAGGGGGAAAATATAAATATTAGAGTAGAAATCATTAATGTAGAAAAAAGAAAAACAATAGAGGAAATCACAAAACCAGAATATAAACTATATTCACAAACTTTTAGCTAGCCTGACCAAAAACAAAAAAAAAAGACACAAATTACAAAAATGAAGCCTCAAAGAGGGCATCACTATTGAAAGTACAGAAAGTAAAAGGATTATAGTGAATTCCCGTGAACAACTTTATGGCAACAAATTATACAAATTATATAAAATGGAAAAAAATTATATAAAATGGGAAAATGCTTATAAGACAAAATTTACCAAAGCTTCATCAAGAAAAAATATAAAATATTAATAGATCTATAACCAATAAGGAAATATAATTAATAAATATGAAACTTCTCACAAAGGAAAGCCCAGACTCAAATGGCCATACTGATTAATACCACCAACCATTTAAAGGAAAAAACAATTTTTTACAAACTACTAGAATAGAGATGAGTGAACATTTCCCAACTCCCTCTGTGAAGCCAGTATTACCCTGGTTAGATATAGATATAGATATAGATATAGATATAGATATAGATATAGATATATAGATACACACATACATATGTATATATGAATATATACACATATATAATCTCTACCAAATATTAACAATATAAATACAATAAAATACTTTTTAAAAAGACTATATCCATGGCCAATTGGGATTTACTCCAGCAATAAAATGTTTATGTAACATTTTTGAAAATCAGTCTGTATCAGGTCCCGTACTAGAGTGAGCTGAGTGCAGAGCCTAGCATGCTGACTTTAAAAAAGTACCCAATCTTTCATGACCCTGGAGCAATCTCAAAGTTTGTACCCAAGTGCTTCACCTAATTTACCCCAGCCCAGGCTCTAATCATTATTTTATACTTTATTAATAGAATAAAAAACAAAACCATGTGATCATCCTGATAGATGTGAGAGAAGGACTGGAGAAAATCCAACACCACGTTAAAAAAAAAATTGTCAGCAATCTAGGAATCGAAGGAAACTTCCTCAACAATCCAACCTGAAAAAGGGCATCTATAAAAAGCCCACAGCTAAAACCATACAGAAACAATTCTACTAGAATTGTAATGCAGTTTAGCAAGGCTATAGATCACAAGATCAATATATAAAAAGCAATCATAACTTTTTATACTGTCAACAATCAGAAATTAAAATTCAAAATAATACCATTTACAATAGCATTGCAAATATTAAATGTTTGAGGTCAATCTGACAGAAAGAGAACCAAGAACCTGTACACTAAAGCTAGGAAAAATTGAGAGAGTTTAAAAGATTAATATTAAGATATCAATCTTCCTCAAAATGACCTAAAGATTCAATGCATTAGAAACAAAAGCATAGTGGGTTTTTTGTTGTTATTAACAGGCTGATTTAAAAATTCATATGGAAATGCAAAAGAACTACAGTAGACAACATAACTTCATAAAAGAACAAAGTCAGATGACCAGCAGTATTTGATTTCCAATTTAATCTCCTAGCTTGGAATATCAACTATAATTCTTTTTATAATTTTTTTAGTGATTGCCCTAGAACATATATTTACAACTAATCAATATCCACTTTCAAATAACACTATCCATTTCATGAGTAATGCAGATACCTTATAATAGAGTATTCTCAATTCCTCCTTCTCATTCTTTAGAAGATTGCCATCATTAATTTCATTATGGGCTATAATCACCTAATAGATTTTTACCATTACTTGAAGAGTTATCTATTACATAAAAATAGGAAAAATAAAAGATTTTATTTGCCTTCATTTATTTCATATGTGACAATCTTCCTTTCTTACACAGATCTGTGTTTCTGACCTATGTACTTTTCCATCTCCCTAAAAAACTTTTAACATTTACTGCAGGATAGGTCTGGTGGTGATGAATTCCTTTAGATTTTGGTTGTCTGCAAAGGCTTTATTTCCCCTTCACATTTTTTAAATTTAAATTCAATTAGCCAACATATAGTATATCATTAGTTTCAGATGTAGTGTTCAACAATTTATCAGTTATATATAACACCCTGTGCTCATCACATCATGTGCCCTCCTTAATGCCCATCACCCAATTACCCCAATCCCCCCACCCAACTCACCTCCAGCAACCCTCAGTTTGTTTCCTATAGTTAAGAGTCTCTCATGGTTTCTCTCCTTCTTTGATGACTTCCCACCCCTTCACTTTAAAAAAATAATTTGGTATAGAAAGAATTTTAAGTTGATGGGTTTTTTGGTGTTTGGGGTTTTTTGTTTGTTTTTAATTCCATATTTAAATATTTTACTTCACTCTCTCCTTGCTTGTATGGTTTCTAATAAAAAGTCTATTGCAATTCTTATCCATTTTCCTCTATAAGGAATGGTATTTTTATAAACTGGTTTCTTTCAAGATTTTTTTTGTAGCCACTGTTTTCTGCAGTTTGAATATGATATATTGCCTATCTATATATTTTTTGGATATTTATCCTGCTTCGTGTTCTCTGAGCTTCTTGGATCTATGGTTTGAATCTGCCATTTATTTTGAATATTCTCTGACATTATTATTCAGATATTTATTCTGCATATTTTTATCTTTCTTCTTCTTCTGATACACCACTTAAGTATGCTACATCTTAGAAATTATCCCACGGCTCTTGAATATACTCTTCTGCTTTATAGTCTTTTTTTCTCTTTGCATTTCAGATGAGGTGTTTCTATGGACATATTTTAAAGTTCACTAATTCTTTCCATAGCCATTTCAAGTCTACTGATGAGCTCATCAAAGACATTTTTTTTTATTTGTGTGAAAGCGTTTTTGGTTTCTTATGTTTCATTTGAGTTATTTTTTGGGGTTTCCATCTCTGCTTATAGTACCCATCTGCCCTGCTTGCTGTCTACCTTTTTTAATTACTATTCTAGCATATTAAGTCATAGTAATTTTAATTCCCTGTCTGGCAATTCCAACATCTGTGTCATAGCTGCATCTGGTTTGACGCTTGTTTTGTCTTCTTAAACTGTAGGTAATGGGTACCTACTTTTTTCTTGCCTTTTAAACATGCCTTATAATTATTGTTGAAAACTGGACATGTGAATTGACAAATAGCAAAATAAATATGATTTCAGTGTGAGATTCATGTTAATTTGGCAAGGAGTTGGGCCATGTTTAATATTTGCCAGAGTAATAGCTGTCAAAGCTTAAGATTTCCCAAGTGTCCTTCTTTTTGTCTCCCTGGTGGTCTTTGGGTTTTTCTAAAAACACCTCCCTAAATACACCCTGTGCCTTGCAGCTCTTTTAGCTTTAATTCAATGTTATTATGCTGGAGCCCTATTGCTGTGATGGTAAACTGTAGGTAATGGGTAGCAATCTATAATCTTACTATTAAATCTCAAATCTCAGTGTTTTAGTAGAACTTTTTTCCTGGCTTGACCTTCACAAGTATTTCCAAGCCTTCCACCTCCCTCACCTTATTTGAAACAGTTTGGCTTAGTAGGCCTACAGTTGTAAAACTGTCCTCCCTCCAGGTGGGATAAGGCTCTGATAAAGTCTTTTTCCCAGCAGAGTAGGCCTTTGTTTTGCAGAATTATCTAGATGTATTTCAAAATGGTTACATTTCTCCTGCCTTGCCAGGAAAATGAGATTTTTCTTGTTTCTTCATTATTAAAATTTAGTGGGTTCCTGAGGGTGAAATCCACAAAATTATGGAGGCCCATCTACTACTGCAGCCCCCACCAGTTTGCCCATCTCATGCTAATCCACCCTCAGCCTCCAGCAAGTCACCAAAGTTACTATGTAAGTTGTCCTACCAGTTTATGGTTCCAGTAGCTTCTGCTCTAGGTAAGCATATCTCTGATGTGATTCTCTATACGTGCAGTTTCTCCAGAGTTTGGAGTGGTCATGTGCCATGAGAATCACAAATCTCTGACAAGCCTAAGAAAGTCACTGAATTTCAATTTATTCAACTTCTTTTCTTGGTGTAAGTCCAGGAGTGCTAATATCCAAGTTCTTTTCATGTTATAGCTGAAACCTGAAGTTGCAGATGGATTTTTTATTCAAAAATAAATCAATGTTTTATTTTTCAGCTTTTTAAAAGATTTTAAGATGGAACGCTTTACGAATTTGCACGTCATCTTTGTGCAAGAGGCCATGTTTATCTTCTCTGTGTTGTTCCAATTTTAGTTTATGGGCTGCTGTAGCAACAACTTGCTTTGTATTTTATACAACTATGCTGTTTGGGTGAGCTGAGTTTAACAATCTACTTATAGTTGGTTTTATTTGAGAATAGATGAGGGGTCAGATGAGAAAAGTTTTCTGTGTTGCCAAAAGTAGAGAAAAGAAGGAAGGCTCATCAGATGAACGATTGGTGGATACAGACTGAGCAGCTGATGGACTTATTTCTCTAAGGAGAAACACTGAGGATGCAACTGGAGATGCTCAGATTCAAAGTCAATGATGTGTAAAAAAGAGAAAATGAGAGGGTGATCTTTCTAGTTCTTTTAGTACTGGAGGGTCATTCTAGCATCTGAGAGATTTGGGATCATCAATGATTGCACTGTCTGCATTGATTCCATTTTCACCATAAGCATCAGAAATACTGATGGAAGCGAAGTGCATTTATGTAGCATCTTTATCGGAATTCATTAATAATATGGTCAGTAAAGGGGAGGAGAAAATGGCTATTGGCAAAGTGATAATTATTGCCAGAATTGGTTTTTTTTTTTAGCACACATGTAACATTGACTAGAGATTAACAAAAATAGATGACTCAGCATGGAGCTGATTTCCTGTAACAGTAAATGAGATGAGAGACAATAAAATTTCTACTGTAACTATTACTCTAAAATATAGGTTGGTGTGACTTGGAAAAATTTAAATTATGTATTTAAAATACTTTTTCAAGTTAACTTCTAAATAGAATCCAGTTTTACTTTGATATGTAAATGTTAAAAGTATGAGTCAAAAGAAAATGGACACTAAATTATTCTTAAATGAAACATCTGCATATGATACTTTTCTTAATTTGTCTGAATTTTCCAATATATACTCATAAGTTCAAACTAAATGGCATTTTTAATAATAGAAAATAGCTACAATTATTATTATTATTTTTTAAAGATTTTATTTATTTGACAGAGAGAGACAC